CCCTCCCATCCACCCTTTCCACTCGGGCTCCGACCTGGGGAAGGAAAAAGAGCGCCAGGATCACCGTCGGGGAGAGGAGCTGGGGCATCTGCAGGGAGACCATGGCCTTCCGGAGGTCTTGGGAGCTGCAGCTGCTGGCTCCGGAGCCTTATATCTGAGAGGACAGCTCCGCCCCTTCGGGCAGCCGCCGGCTCCAGGGGACCCTAGGGGAGGAGGTCGCAGGGGAAGGAGAGCGTGCTGGAGCAGCCGTGAGACTGTGTCGTGGCCACAGGCAATGCAGTGAGTGTACATCTTATATGCGGTTGTGGGCATGATTTGTGTGGCTGAGGATAGGGTGGGGTGGGGTGGGGGGTTAAGCTTGTGTGTGAGGTTGGATATGATTTTAAAACTCTGTGTGTGGTGTGTGAGCCAGAGCTACTGGAGGGTGTACATGACTGTGATTGTGTGTCTAGGTCAGATTGTGTGGCTCCACGTGTGCTTGAAATTGTATATGGTTAAGCCTCTTTGTGAGGTTGTAAATAATTCTAAGATTCTGTGTGTGTGTGTGTGTGTGTGTGTGTGTGTATACACGCACACACACACCTGCATGGGAGAATGGAGATGTACATGATTTCATGGTTGTGTGACTTTTGAGATTCTGTGGCTGTGTAGATGCTTCTCTGTTCAGGTGTACAAAAATGTGTTAGCTCCTGGGCCACTGTGTGTAGTCATAGGAACCTGTGACTTTGTGGTCTGTGCAGGTGCCTCTAGGTGGCTGTGTGTGTTTGTGTGTGTGGTAAGGTCTGTGCAAGGTTGTGAATGGCTGAGGGTTTGTGTGTGAAGGAGGCTGGGTGTGGGAGGTCCATGAGTGTAGCCCTGTGTGGATACGATGAAGATCCAGTGTTCTTTGTGGACCCGTGTGTGTGTGTGTGTGTGTGTGTGTGTGTGTGTGTGAGCACGCGCGCATGCTCGAGTGTGTTTCCCCTCCCCAAAACAAAGCCACCCTCCCCAAACCCGCATCACGGATGCACCAGACGCTAGGGCGAGCAGCCCCCGCCTCAGAGGGGGCTCCCAGCTGTATGTAAATGCTGCCATCTGCTGGGCGGCCGCGCCCCTCCCCCTTTGGGCCGCAGCTGGGCTGCCCGTTTGGCCTCCGGAAGGTGTGAGCAGCAAATGGGCAGGAAATTCGGTCCTCACAGATCAGGGGCCCGCTCCCTCACTCCAGGATGAATGGGGGGCGGGGGCACCCGGCGCCCTCCAGAAGCTCCTTAGTATTCCAGGACCACCGCAAGGAAAGCCAGTTAGAGCAGATGTTCCAGCCCTCCGGTCCCAATCATTTACTCTGCCAGGTGCTGAGCAAAGCCCTTTAGATGGAGTAAACTTTTTTTTTTCCAGAAGAAAAAAATTTAACACTTAGAAGCTAATAATTATAGGGGGAGATACAGGTTCAATTATATACGTACATATTTTTCTTTTGGAGAAGGTGCTCAATAAAGCACAGCCCAGTAGAGCCAGGCATACAGTAAGTGCTCAGTCATTTTTAATGAATGAAAGAACTCAATCTAAACAGTTTTGTCATAATCCTGAGGACGGGAGTCATGGAAGGGTTTTGAACAGGGGAGGGCTATGGTCAATTGTGCAGAACATCCCAGGTTCCTTTGCACAGGTTTTTCTTCTACTTGATATATTCTTTCCACTTCCTTCTTTTTAAATTGTTACCAGACTTCACCTCCTATAGGAGGCCTTCCCTAACACCCCCCAAGGGGGTCAGGCACCTCTTCTGAGTTCCCACAGCCCCTGGGGACTCCTCTATCCCAGCCCCAACCACTCTGGCCTATGAGGTCTTTCTAAGCACAAATCTGACCATGTCCCTCTCCTACATAGACTCTTCCATGGCTCCCCAGTGCCTCCCAGCTTCTGAAATTCTAAGGTTGACATTTAAGGCCCTCCCTCCACATCCCCCTACTCAAACAGGTTCTGTGGCCCCAAAGCACAGAGCCAGACCTTGTGGACCCCAGTTAATGGGAGGCAAATTAGGGCCTGTACTGGGGTAGGTAAAGGAGTGAGCCTCCCATTACAGGAACTATTCAAATGAGATCTGGACAGTTATTAGAAGCTGTGGGAGAAGGCAAATTCCTGCCGTGGATAATAACTGGGGAGGTAACAATTTCCACGTCTGAGATAGCTCAAAATTTTTGAAGATTGTAAAAATAGCCAGCGTTTATTGAGGGTTTCTGCCAGGCACGATAGTGTTTCCTGTGAATTCTCTCAAGTCTGTACGTGTACTTTAAGGGATTTCCAAGCATCTTTTTGGCTATCTAGGACTTTTCCTTATGTGCCCACCTTAGAGCCCACAGAAGGCTATGCTGAGGTGACATCTGCAAAGACCTGAAGGAGGGGAGGGAGTGAGCTATATGGATCCTGGGGAAAAAACATTCCTGGCAGAGGGCATAGGAAGTGCAAAGGCCCTGGGGTGACCATGCCTGGCACACCCAGATATCCCCATGGTTTGCCTCATTTCATTCTGGTCTCTGCTCAAATACACCCTCCCAAGAGGCCTTCTCTGACTGTCCCATTCAATCTAAAACAGCACTCCTGTTCCCAAACCACTCTATCTCCTTACCATGCTTTCCTGTATGCATTTATTTTACCCCAAGAAATATCTGACCACTTTCTGTCTCCTCCATGAGAACATCAGCTCCTTTTTTTCTAGAGCTTTTCCTCTAGTTTGTTCACCAGTACACCCTTGTGCCTAAAATGAGGGCTGGCAGTCAGTACTTAGGATATATTTGTTGAGTAAGCAAATGAGAAGTACTATTATTAACCTCTTATGAATGAGTAAACTGAGATGCTTGAGACCTTGCCCAGGGTCACAGGGCTTGCAAGTGGCGTGCAACCTGGGAATTCAGCCCCTGCTGGGATATGCCTCAACACTGGCCCAATCCTGCCCACTGGATGACGCCCTAATGCAGCCCTAGCACCGAGCATTTGATATAAACATCCTACGCCATGTCACGTAAGCAGCGTCTCAGAGGCCACCTGGCACAAGTCAAACCTTCTCCTCCCATCCAGCTTTAAGCAGGTGTGACCTGACAGACAGCACCATCCCTGAACCAGCATCAATGTCGGGGAGAGGCCTTGGAGGAACCCACTGGACACTGAAGCATGTGCCACCCAGAGTACTAACCTTAACCCCCAGGGCCACGGGCCAATGGACAAACGTACTTCCTCCTTTCATGCCCCGTGGATGGACAGATCTGAGTCACATTTCAAAAGCTTCTCAGAAGGTCCCATGGGTCACCCCCTGTGGTCGGCGAGCACTCACTTGCAGTGGCTCCCTCCGTCCACAAACCCTCTCCCCAGGATCATGTTCCCCAAATACCTTGCTTTCAGTTAGGAGTTTATAACACTCAAAGCCACCTGCAAAGGAAACACAGGCCCTCCCTCAATCCTGCAGATGCTCTCAAGCTAGGGAATCCTGAGGATATCGAGGAAACTCTCTCCTGGATTACAAATGGTACACCTCAGGGTGGGGGTAGAGGGCTGCAAATGTTACTTATTTGTAGACATCTGTGAGCCTTGCTTAAAAATCTAGAGTTCAAGTTCAATCTGGCCCACACAGTTTCAAATACATTTTAATTCTTTTCACAAATACCAGGGAAGGGTTTTTAAAAGTATCTAACTGGTACAAGCACTAAATGCTGGCTAGAGCAGGAGAGGCTGAGACAGCCGGGGGGCAGGCAACTGCCAAAATGGTACAGGACATTTCAGTCTGGGAAGAACCAGCATGGCCTGGTAACAATAAGCCCCACTGAATATACATGCAGCCTGCGCATGAGCTGTCCCATTTACTCCTCGCAGCCACTCTATTACAATGGGTATTATCATCGCCCCCATTTTAGAGATGAGGCAAGGGAGGCAGAAAGGTGCTCCCAAGGTGCATACAGCTACCATCTGAGTGCCTACCTGGGGGACCTCACTGAGCCTTCAAGCCTAGCCTATGAGGTAGGGACTATTATTTCACAGACGTGGAAACTGAGGCACCGAGAGGGGAAGTAACTTGCTCATTTGCTTGTGATCACACAAGTCAGGACGTGGCATAGAGCTTGGATCCGAACTTGGATTTGGGTTTATAAAAGTCTGGAGGGACTTCTCTGGCGGTCCAGTGGTTAAGACTCCGTGTTTCCACTGCAGCAGGCTTTGATCCCTGGTCAGGGAACTAAGATCCCATATGCTGCGCTGCTGCGCGGCCAATAACAACCAGTCTGGAACTCAACACTCCTAGGTAATACCCAAATGTGCTGTCCATTGCAGGAGCCAGTAGTCACACGCGGCTATTTAATTAAAATGAAACAAAATTAAAAATCTCATCCCTCAGTTACCCTTGCCACATCTCAAGTACTCAATGGCCCCATGAGGCCACTGGCTGCTCTACCGGACAGTGGAGATACATGACACGGGGTACACATCGCGGAAAGCTCCACTGCAGAGTGCTGCTACAGTCTGTTTTAGTTAGGAGCCAACATTTTTAAATTGGGAGATTTAATATAACAACCCCTTTCCTGGCTTCTACTGAAAAACCAGAAGATCAAGCAACTCTAGGCCCACCTTCCCACAGGGCCATGGTTGGCAGAGCTGAGCAGCAGCTGCCCTCGTGAGATGGGGCGGGGCAGCCTCTGGTCCACTGAAGCCCCATGCGCCCACACTTCACACATTTACACAGCAGCCTGGCGGCTACCTGTATTTCAACCCACAGTGCCGTCCTCTCTTCTCTTTTCCATAGGGAATCTGGGGCCAAAGAGGGAGATGCACTTTCACAGACCACGTGGCACATGGGAAGACACGGCTAGGGCAGGGCCCTACACAGGTTTTCGGATTCCCAGGCCAGAGTTAAAACCAACCATCACCCCCCAGAGCGCCCTTGCTGCTCAGCAGCCGATCAGCCGCTGTGGGACGACCCCCGAAGAGTCCCACACTGCACCCTGATGCCCCCATCTGGACACTCTCTGGACACAGCAGTGTGGCGTCTGGGATGAACTTTATTGGACATGTGGTTGGCCAAGCCGTGGTCTGGGAGCACTGGGCCTGGGGCCCAGAACCCAGGCACTGAGTTTGAGGAGGCCCAGAGGTCAGGGCTGTTTGGAGCGAGGCCACAAGCGGCTGGTAAGGGAGCCAAAGAAGAGGTTCTGCTTGCTGGATTTGGAGAGCTCAGCCAGGCGCTGCTGCTCCTCCTGGAGTTGGGGGCAGACAGAGTGGGAGAGTCAGCCCAGGGGCCACCTTCCTTAAACCTTTGCCCAGCCCAGACACAGGATGCACCCAGAACCTAAGGACCCAGTTCAGACACTGGCAAAAGCCAGCTTTGAGCCACAGAAGCCCAGACTCAAATCCCAGGGGGCCTGTCCCCTGAACCCTGGGAACCTAACCCAGGCCCTACACTGGACTACAACATGTTACTCCCTAAGCCCCCAGTGCCCAGTCTTGAGCCCTAAGACCCCTGTCTGGATGCTGAGGGACCCCAGGCCCAAATCTCCAGGGATTCCTCCTTTGGGTACTCAGGAGCTCTAGCCAGGAACACAACCCCAAACTCGATCATCCTCAGCCTAGACTCCTCAGAATCTCTTTCTCAGACTCAATTCATGTTCTTATCCCCACTTAAAAATTAGAGGATCACAGGTCATCAGAACTCCTTGCCCAAACCCTTGGGCCAAGTGTCCAAGGATCCCTCTTCCCAGACCTGATCCAAACCCCCACCCCACAAAATACGAGGACCCCCAGACCATCAAGGCCTCTGGACCTATCTCAAATGCTTAGCGTTTCCTGCCTCCTGTGCTCAGCGCAGGCTGCAGAATCAATTCGCCCCTCATTAAAGGGCCCCCTGGGACGGGTGGTGTGAAAGAGAAGGCAGTTGCTCAAGGTCACACAGCCAGAGTGGAGACAAGCTGCTCCAGGGCTCCGCCTTCAAGAGCCTGGGGAACTGACGGTGACACCCCCCATCCACGCTGGGAAGCTGAGGACTCACCTGCTCCAGCCGGCTTTGCCGCTGCTTGAAAGCCTCCAGTGGGTCTTCCTCCAGGGCGTAGTGCTCCAGCACAGTTCGGACATCCTCCACACCATTCAGAGCAATGGCTGTGGGGATAGCAGGTGGGGGTCAGCCAGCTGACGGTCAGAGGGAGGCAGGGCCCGCAAGGGTAAAGGTCAGACCGGGGTGGGGTCAGAGCTACGTGGAACATTTCTCAGCATTCTAAAAGGGATTCCCCTGAATATTCCCAGGCATCCCCTAAACATTTCAGAGAAGCATCCCAAACATTCTAAGAAGCTTCTAAAGACTGCAAGATGCTCATGGATCTCCTGCATCGCAAGTCCCTGGTTTCATATAAAAAACAAGCCAGAATCAAGCATCTTATCACTCCTCTTGAATGTCAAAGGCTCCAGGGTCAGAGGCCAGGAGGTCAGGGGTCAGCCTTACTCTTCAGGAAGGCAGATAGGTCCAATAAGACCCGGTCATCGGAGTTGCCATTCCAGGGCCGCAGGGCGACACCGTTGTAGGGCTGTAGGCGGAAGGCTTCCTTCTTGCAGTCCACGACTACTACGCGGGCTGGATCCCGATTCAGACACGAAATGTCCTGGAAGTGGATGACAGGTCAGGTCAAGGCCTGTGCTCCTTCCCTTCCCACCAGGAACCCCCAGAGGGAGAGAGAGGTGGACAGACTACACATGCACTTGGTATCACACACTGGGATCATCACGACACGGCCTCCCGAAGACCAGGCTGGGATGAAGACATCAAACGTAGCAGGGAGCAGAGGAGCTAGTCACACAGATCCTAGGCCCGGGCCCGGTGCTCAGGCAGGCTGGCTTGGGGGCTCCCTGGGGAGGGAGGTGGCACTTGTGTATTTAATCACTGCCCCAGGTGATTGTGACAAGCTGCACGTTTGTAAACTTCTCACAGACAGAGGTGCTGACTGACCCACAGCCACACACAGGAAGTCACACAGAGACAGGCACCCAGACAGACCCTTCAAGACCCTCAATCACAGCCCATGTCCTTCCGAACCCTGAAAAACTACACAGACCCCCAGAACCAAGACACAGGGAGAAACCCAACAGACACCAAGACCCATGGATACCTGGACAAAGACCCACAAAGAGGCCCATTCACAGCCCCACAGACTCCTGGACCCCTGGATATATCATTGGTCACAGCAACAGACCCCAAGTCAAATTCCAACACAGTCTCATTTAAACTATTATAATTACATAGTCCCAGAGACACTCAGCCAGAGACAAAAATCCACTCCAAATGTCATGTCCCTACCCCGTACTCCCAACTGTTTTCTTTGGAGAGATCCCATTTTCCCCTGCTCCCACTCCCAGATTCTGGGACAGAGAAAAGGGCGTAGAGGCCCAGCCCAGGCTGGCGTCAGGCTAGTGTCCTACCAGATTCAGACCTGGGGCAGAACCAGAAGCAGCCGGTTGCTTCTCAACCAGAAACAGATTGAGGCTGGGGTCAGAGCTAGGTCCTCTTTCCTTTGGGAAGTGCCAGCCCTCCCCCAAATCCCAGAGCCCCACCATGGCCCCCACATGGCACCTTAACGTGGTGCCCATCCATGTATCTCGTGGCGTCCCGGAACAGGCGGTAGGAGATGAAGCCGTGGGGGTCCACGCTGTCGATGAGTGGAAAGGCAGTCTGGGGGGTGGGGTCGGGGGGAGAACAAGGTCAGGCTGAGCCTTGGCCCTGCAGCTCTCCCTCACCTCCTGCCACATCGACCATCCCGCCCCTGCCCCGGGGGCCTCACCATGCCAGTCTCTGATGTAAAGATGACGATTTCATACAAAGGGGCGAGCTGCTGGAATAAGGTCTCGATGCCTGGACGCTTCTTAAACCTCCAGCCAGTGGCCAGCTGGAAAGGCAGTGAGAACAGTGAAACACTGAGACCCAGAGGTCCCTGTAGCCCCAAGAGGACAAAGACCCAGTCTCGGGGGATTCCCGGAACCAGAATGCTCTCTCCATCTCTGTGGCTCTTGGAGGGGTGCAGGAGCACATGGCTGTGGCTGAGGGCCCAGGAGTATGGAGGACGTGACTCCCCTATGGCACTTACTGTGTGCCAAGGCACACTTACAACTACCTCCGGGCTGCGGAGTAGCACAGTTGAGGGAAGCAAGGCAATGAGGGGTGATACCTCTTCCCCTGGATCACAGAGTGGAACTGGGGCCTCCAGAGTCTATGCTCTTAACCACATCATCATAAGCCGGCCACCCAGCCCTGTCTGGTGTCCCTAACCCGCTGCCTTCCCCAGGACACACCGACCACTCAGGGTGCAAGAGGACACCAGTGAGCTCCAAGACCAGTGTGTATGGTGGTTGGTAGTACGGCTCCCGCAGAGGGTCTGGGAGAAGGCAGGGGCTGGTGGGCTCGATGATCATCTGTGAAAGAGAGATGTAATGGGGGCACTCAGACAAGGAGGCAGGAGGCTGGGGGTGAAGGGATAGGGACTGGGCCCAGGGCTCCTGCTCACCTGTCTATAATCTTTGAAATATTTGTATGTCCGGCGCAACTGCTGTACCAGAATTGGATCTAGGAGAACACCAGGGCACAAATGGATTCCAAGATAAGCCACTGCTCAACCTCCTGGACAAACCAGGGGTTTATTTATCTACCAGATACAAACAGGTCTACATACCCACCTGGTTTGAAACAGCTCATTTCCGAGTACAAAGATAAAAAGCAATGACATATCTAACTGCCAGGTATGAACAAATGTTTTTATTCACCTGTCAAGTTTTAATCTGAATACTTATATCCACACACCACCCCAGATATAAAACAGAATACTTATACATCTGCCCACTTAAATCCCACATACATATAAATAAATCTGCTGACATCATGCCAGTATGTTTAGTCCATTTTGAACCTCTAGGTTTCTAGATGTGCCCACTTTAATCAAGTATGTGAAATCTAGTTAAGCCACAATAAACATACACACATCTATACACTTTAAACTAGTGGTTCTCAACTAGAAGCAGTTTTGTTCCTCGCTTCCCAGAAAATTCTGCGATGTCTGGAGACATTTTTGACCGTCACAATACTGGCATCTAGTGGATAGAGGCCCAGGATGCTGCTAAACATCCTACAATGCATAGGACACTCCCCTACAACAAAGAATTACATGATCTATAGCATCAGAATGGCTGAGGCTGACAAATTTTGGATAACTGAATACACCAAATCCAGTTTAAAACAGAAATCTTACATGACTACCTTCTTCAATACAATATTTTTAGTGCAGTTAAACTACTGTCTGTGGGCCTGCCTTTTTGAAACCAAAATATCGAAACACCACTTAAGCTAATAAACACACACACTTTAAAACTACAAGTTTACCTGCCCAACTTAAATCAGTATACTGCCTTGTTTAAACCAGTATGATTCTACATCTGCCCAGTTAAACCAGCATACTTACCTACCTGCCTAGTTTAAAACAATCAATGTACTAACATGCCAGTTTGCAAACATCCCTACCACAAGTGGCTTTCTGGACCTACCAATTTTATATTTCTCTTGGGAGGGACCAGATGTGACAAAATTAACAACTACTCTCTACTATCCAACTTGTCAGAAGCTCCCTAAGAGCTGGTTAATCATAAGGGGGAGGAAGGAAGGAGGCATTGTTTCGGAAATGAGGAGTTGGATGGGGTAGGGACCTGGTGGGAAAAAAAGAAGCTGTCATAAAGCAGGGGGTGAGGGGCTGCAGATGCTCAGATCTAAGGCACAGGAAGTCATGTGTCTGGCGATAGAAAGCCCAGTTCTCCCCAAGCACTCCCACCCACCTAGGATTCCCCTCCCCCATCTATCTGTCCCTGACCATCTGCTCTTGGGCTGAGGGGCCAGGGAAGGGGGCTGGAGTTTTGTATGCCCCTCCCCCCAAGCCATCCAGCTGCTGACTCCCCTACCTCCCAATGGAGGGGTGGGGGAGCACCAAATGGGGAGGGCACAGTAGAGAGGGTCAGGGGACCCCAGAATCTGTGCTTGTTTACTCACCGTTGTCGAATTCATCGGGAATCTGGGAGGTAGAGAGAAAAATGGAGGGTTTGGGATGGCAGAGGCAGAACCCCATCACACCCAGAAAAGGAATCTCCAGGGCCCTGGGAAGAGTAGGCAAAGGTCCCTGGGAGGGAGAGGTTCACCCCAGACCAGAAAGAGCCTGAACAGGCCAAATGGGAGGAGACCCACAGGATGGGACCCCTGGTAAGGCTCTGGGTCTCTCTCCAGCTCACCTTGGCACCATTTTCATCCACAGAGTTGTTTCCTGTAAGGCAGATAGTGATGAATGAGAGGACTGAGGATCCAGTCTCCTGGGTTTTACAGAAGGAAAAGGGCAGGGGGCCTAGCCTCCTGGGTCTGAGGGAAGCGGGCTAGAACATCATGGCCTCCTGAGAGAGAGGAAGGGGCTGGTAGCCAGGATACCTGGGCCTCTGAGACAAGAAGGGCTGGGGCAGAGTCTCCTGGGTCTCTGAGGAATGAAGGGACTAGGGGGACGGTTGGAGTTTTGGGTGCTGAGGGAAGAGGTAGCTTAGGGGGGTGAGCCCAGCCTATCCTTCCTTCTCTTCCAATTGACTCCCCCCATAGCTTAGTGCAGGAACCAACTAGAAAGAGTAGAACGTTGAGTAGAGAGGCAGTAGGGAGACTTCCCTCATTTCCAAATTCTAGTTGGCTGCCCTATTGAGGGAGGAGCCAGGGAATGAAGACGGGTGAAGCCCTTAGGGGAAAGAGGGGGAAGTTCCCAAGCAGAATAGCGGGCCAACAGAACAAAACTGGTGGGCAAGGGTACGTTCCTCACCAAAAATATAGATGACGCTCACGGTCCCACCAGCCCCGAGCAGCCCAGCAAGCCAGAGTGCAACTTTTTTGGCATAGCTGGGACCCTCCGAGTTCCTCTGCTGCTGTGGCCCCTGGGTCTGGGCCTTAGCGCCTGCTCGGCTCCCAATCTCTGTAGCCTGCAACTGAAAGGGGGTAGGTTGGCCAAGAGAGGAGAGAAAGAAGGTCAGGGTGATTTGGGCACCCTGATCTGAGAAGAATCGAGGTTGGGAGCCAGGAAGCAACCACCCACATGGCCTCCAGGTGTTGTGTGCCTGGAGGGGCAGGCAGGAGACTGGGTCTCTCAGAAGGGTCAAGAACTAAACTGTCTGGCGCCAGGATCCCAGGGGTTCAAGAGTTGACAAGCTCTGGTGCCCGGGATCCCAAAAGCAAAAGATTGGAGGGCCTGGAGCCGGAAAAAGCTGGGCAGGGAGATAAGATGAGGGAGCCTAGCTGAACACTGGGATTCCTGGAGCAAGACAATGAAGGACACTCAAGGGGATAGGACGGAGAGTTAAGTCCTCCGGACGCCTGGGGCTCACAGTAGCGGGGTATGGAGGGGGAGAGAATGGGAGCGGGGCCGGAGGGGCAATCGCTTGCTGCGGCTTAGGGCACGGAAGTAATGGACCCGGAGGTCAGAATGACTGGGTCTCTGTCAAGATGGAGGCAGGTCAAATCAGAAGCCCGAACATCTACCTCACCACCACCACCACCACCACCGCGGGGGAAATACCCGCAAGGCCAGGCTGGGACTCCAGCGTCCCCGGATCCTCCCCTTCAAGTATTACCTGAACAGTCACTGAGATGGGGGAACAGATGACTCCCCTCCCCCGGCGCCCACGTGCGGTCGAGGAGGTGGGGTCCAGAGGACGCACTTGAGCCCCCAAGCATCTAGCCCGGGACGCAAGCGCTGCCTACCCCGGGAAGCGGGGAAGAGACCCAAAATGCTGGCGGTGTTCCATTCAGCACCCTGACGTGCTGCGTCCCAGAACCTCCGGGCGGCGGCGGTCCGCCTGGAACTCCAGGAAGGAGCCCCAGCACCCGGAGGCCACCCCCACCCCCACCCCGCTCACCTGGTCCGGGGCCCGAGGGGGCGGCGTCGCGAGCCTCGCGCACAGCCCCCGCGCGCCTTGCCGGAGCCCGCTCCGCAATCGCAGGAACGGCGCCGCTGAGGCCGCCATCTTGCGCTGACGCCACGCTACCCCGCCCCCTCACTCTCTCCCCGCCCCGGGCCGGGGCCGCGGCCAATGGGTGGTGCAGGAGAGGGGCGGGTGGACGGGAGCCCGAGAGAGACAAAGGGCTGCGGGCGCACTGCCGCGGGCACTCCAACTAGGACTGGGAGACAGACGGCACCACGCCCCCCTCGCGCCGGACGGCGTTCCACCGCCCACGCCCCAGGTCGGCGCCGGACACCCACTGCTCCGAGGTGAAGCGGAAGCGCTAACGGAGGGAACCTGTGGCTGCGTGATTTGTCCTAAAACCTGAAAGCCACCTTCACACACCTTCTTACTCACGTGCGGCCCAGAGGCCTCATCCGTCTTCCTTCCCATTCTCCGAACCCTTTCTTGCCCCTCCTCCCGTGAGCTTCTTAAAATGGGTCTGGAAAACCAGCCAGTTTCATGGAGGTTCAGCCAAAAGAACAGCTGCCCGTATCTGGCGGACTCGGGGTATTAAGAGGAAGTCCATGAATTAGAGGCTACAGGAACCACGATGAATCTTCCTCAAATTATTTTGAGAGGAAAACAAGTCATACTGTTTATGTAAACTTTAAAAACATGTAAATCACCACACAACATTTAGGGACATTTACTAAGGTAGTAAATGTACAAAGTCAGGAAAAGACAGGATTCAGGGTGCGGTTACTTCTGGAGGGGAATGGACTGGGTGTGCTGCTCGAGTGGGTCCTTACTATCCGGTACACATATGGTTCCTATGCTGGGTGGTGGGGACATGGGTGCTCCTGACATACCTTTTTAAACATTTGAACTATTTTATAATACAGTTTATATTACATTTGTAAAGAGACATGTGAATATCAAATGAGGAAAGTGAAGAAAGGTCAAGTACTAAGCCCACTCTCCACACTGCTCCCCATCCCCACGCCCTTACACAAGCTACAGCAGTTCTGGTGTCACTGCTATGTGGGCTCAAGAGAAAAAACTATCAAATGCTGTAACCTGCACCAAAGGAGCAATATAGGCTTCCTGAGGGATACTCACTGATTTTCACTTAACTCGAGCATGAGTAAGATGTAACTTTGTCAATCACATGGCAGGCTCTGTTCTAATAATCTCTGTTCTAATAATCTCTTTCCAATGTCTTAAACATTCAACAGCCCTCTGGGGTAGGGAGTATCATTTTCTAGATGGGGAAACAGGCTTTTGTAGGACTGTTATTTGCCTAAGACCACACAGCGTGGAAGTAAGTGGGGTCTGCAAATGACCCCACTTACAAACCAGAACACACACACACACACACACACACACACACACACACACACACACGACTTTTGACCAAACAGCTTTTTATTGAAAGACCGTAACACAAAAGAAAGCTGGGGAAGGTGGGGACTGTCCCTGTCGACTCTACTCTGATTCCCATGAATATCAGGGAGGGAGACAGGAACCCAGAAAGGAAAATAAAAGAAATCCTGATCAACCCGGCTAGCCCTGCTCCAGGGCCCAGATCCTGTGTCAGAGCCAAGGGCCAGGAAAGGAAGGAGGGACACTCTCCATCTACCAGATTCATCTGCCAAAGTCCACCCTGCCTGCCTCAGGCCTCCAGGAGCTTCCCCAGGAAGCGGAGGTTGAGGATCTTGAGCTGTTCATCAAGGTCCATGCGGACTATGCCATCCTCGCCATCAATGCTCAGCAGGACACCTGTGGCTTCCCGATCCTCACCCAGGATCACCTTCACCTGGGGGGGGGCGGGGACAACACGACACATGGGGTCACGGTCCTTGGCAGCAGCCCAATGCCCCCACATCCCTTTGTCCTCCCTTACCTTGTTGTTCTTGGTCGGGGTGATGGGCTCCAGGTGCTCACTGGAGATGCTGACAACCTTCTCGCTGTCCTTCAGGTATACGGAGCACATGCCTCCCTGGGGGTGGGGACAGCCTGGTCAGCCTGGCCTGCTCCCAACACAGGACTGATACCGCCCCCCCCCCCAAGGGACATAGGATCAGGGCTTATTCTAAGAAGTCACTTTCCCAAAGTGACACAGGGGCAGGAAAGGTGAAGGCTGGGCCTGGTTCCAAGGCCTGGGGTCTGTGGTGTATGGGGGCAGGGTGATCAGATCAGCAAGGGAAGCTCCAGCATGAAGCTAACTTAGGCCAAAAGGGAGACTGTTTCTCAGGCTCTTGACTCATCGTGTCCCAAACTGGCCTCAGTTTCTTCCCCACACTTGCTTCTCATCCTGGGTCTCCGTCTCAAGGATGGCCCAATGGTCCCCGGCACCAGCCAGAGCTCTAGACCTCGTCTTAGTCAGCAACTTCACCAACAACCTCCAGCTCTGAGGCCTGTCCATTCAGCCTCCTGAGGGTCTCTCCCACCTCCCTCTTTCCTCTCCTCCCCACAGCTCTGTAGTACAGCCTGACCTCCCTCTGGGCTCCCAGCCCCGATCCAACTATGACAGAGCAACATAGTGAATTGATTCCAAACCACGGATCTGATCCCACCACTCCCCTGCTTAGATTCCTCCACCACCTACCAGTGCCCTCAGGACACAATCCAAGTTCCCCAGGCTGGCATGTGACCAGCTCCAGCCACTCCTCTGGCCTCATCACTCACCTTCCCCCTTGAATCTTTATGTTCCAGCCACAATGAAGAGACTTCAACCCCCCAATTTGTGCCAGGCTTTCCCTCACCTCCAGGCCTTTGCACGTGCACTCTATCTAGAACACACTCAACCCCTTCCCCAGCCATTTCTCTCGGCTTACTCATGTTCATTCTTCAGGTCTCAGCGCAGATGTCACCTTCTGCCGGAAGCCATCCCTGATCCCTTCCAAAGTTGGATAAGGTGCCTCCCTGGGTTCACATAGCTCCCCTTGCCCTCTGGGCTTCCTATATCCCAGCTCTGGCCACTTGGGCTGTCACTGTCTGGAGACGTGTCTGTCTCCCCCACTGGAATGTGAAATCTGTGAGGGTAGGGCCTGGAGCTGTCTTCCTCTCTGGTGTTTAATTAATTCAATTAATATTTACTGAGGGGCCAACAAGGTGTCAGTCCCTCATCTAGGAACTGGGGCTACTTGGGAAGAAAATATAGGCTTGGTAATCAAAGAACCACACCAGGATAAACTTTAAGCTTTTAAACAGGTAGATAACATGAAAAAGAATTACATGGACCCATAAGAGACAGATCTGAGACAGCCCAAGTGCTTTCTTGAAGGATGAGTAGGAGTTAACTAGACAAAGAATGGCAGGAAGAGAGTTCTAGACAGAGGAAAGTAATAAGCAAAGGCCCTGAGGCTGCTGAGAATTCAGTGACTGAGAAGAATGGAGAGAGGCCAGCAGAGCTGGAGCTGGGAACGCCCGGGGGGCGTGGGTGCCTGGCGCTAAGCCGAAGCCTGGCACAGAGGAGCACTTAGTCCATGTTACTGAACTGATCTTAGAAGAGTATGTCAAAAAGTAACCACACTCCTGGGTGCCAGTCACTGTCCCAGGCCGCTGGGGACCCAGCCATGAGCACAAAAGGCAGAAGTCCCTGGCCTGTAGAGCTTACATGCCAAACCTTTCCACATCTGTTTTTCCAGCTATAAATGAGTACTGGAAAATGGGGATAGACAGTTAAAAAGAAAACAGAAAACAGTAACCAGAGAGACTGGGGACCCCAAAGGAAGGGATGCCCGCCCACCCACCAGCCTGGGCGCTTACCGTGACACTGCGGATGACGCCTGTCTGCCCCACCACTTGTGTATCCAGGTAGGTGTCCCGCACCTTCACCTGGATGTCAGTGGTCACCCAGTCGCTGGAGTTCTGCTCAATGCCTGAGCCCGGTGTGTGTGGGTTGTAGCCACCAGGGGAGGGAGCTCCAGGTGTCATCGGACTATAGCCAACAGGGCTTGGGCTGGGGCTGGCCTGTAGGGAAAAAGGGATGGGGTCATTGGGAACAGGTTATTTGGCCTGGTTGTCCCTATAGGCCCAAGGCCCATCCTAGCCCACCACCCTCAAGGGCGTGCCAAGTGAGCAGTACCTGATAGGCCATGGGCGAGGGGGTGGGGTGGTAGCTGGCTGGGGAGTGGGTGTTCTGGTAGCCTGCTGGGCTTGGCGCCACCTGGTGGTAGCTCTGGGGGCTGGGGCTGGGCTGGTAGGAGCCTTGCGGGGAGGGGGCTGCATAGGGGGAGAACTGGTCTGTGTTGTACCTGCAGAGACAAGGAGAGGTGGGGGGCATTAGCTGGGGGCATTAGAAGGGGAGAGAAGGAGGTGGTGGCAGTGGGGAGGGTTTGGACAGCGGTTGATAAGGCCTAGCCCCAGTGGACTCACATGGCTGGCGTCCCTGGCGTCTGCGGGTTGTACTGTGGGTTGACCTGCGGGGACGAGGGGTCTGGGTAGCCAGGTGTTTGGGGATTGGGGGTGCCCCCATAGGCCTGTGGGGATGGTGTAGGCTCATCATCGAACGCGTACTCATATTCTTCCTCAGCCCTGTTGGGGAGAGACGTCTGTTGAGAATGACTGTGGTGATCGCAATGATATAGCAAATGCTTCCAGAACAGCGCTGAACACCAGGCAAAACCAAGGCAACTTCATCCTCACAAACAGCCCCACCCAGAGGCCTCCATTTCACAGGTGAGGAGACTTGGGAAATAGAGATAAGGTTGCCCAAAGTCACATGACCAAGATCACACAATTTGTCTCCAAGCCCAGGTCTTGACCACAGCATGCTACTACGATGGGAGCTGGAAAGATTACTTTGCCCCCAGCCCCAGCCTTGCCTACCCCTTCACATAACCAGCCTGGGGCTGAGCAGAGAACACAGGGTGGACCACACAGACCGGTCCATCACACAGAAACACAGCAGAACCATTCACGCACATGGGCACACACACCCAGTGGCTCAGGGAACCCCGCCCCAGCCCCCAAGCTCCTGGCCCTCACCGTGACGGTGTGTTAGGATTGTTGGGGTCCCAGGCCCCACTCTGGGCAGGAGTGCGGCTGCCATCATGCAGGGGCGTCTGAGAGCCATAATGCGGGGTCCGACTACCTGGAACGGGAGAGATGTGTGTCCATCAGTTCTGTCCTGGCTCCAGATCCCCCCACATTGCCCCTCATCCCTGTCCCGTGGGAGTGCTCACCATCCTGGAGAGGCGTCTGAGAGCCGTACATGGGCGTGCGGGAGCCAGAGCCATACATGGGCGTCTGGGAGCCATACATGGGTGTCCGCCCATAGGTCGAGGTCATGCCGCCCGGGCGCCGTGAGCCCCTGTAGACACAGAGAACAAGTGGGGTGAGTAGGGCTCTTGCACCACCCAACAACCTCCCTCCCAGCCCTGCCCTGGCCCGTACACTGTGGTGAGGCGCTGACGGTCCACTGAGATGGTCTGGCAGGTGGAGTGCAGCTCCACACGGGCTGTGGACTCCGTGGCATCTTTTACCACGCCAATGTAGCCTGGTGGGGAGGCAGGAGGTCAGGCTGGGTGGGCTCTCCTTCACCGTGCCCCTCCCCAGGCCTCCACACAGTCTTGCAGGTCACCTTTGTAAGGCCCCTGGGAGATGCGCACAGTCTGGCCGATGAGCTCGTTGTCTCTCCGCCCCCGGCCCCTGCTCATGCCGCCGCTGCCACCACCCGGGCTGCCAAAGCCACCACGCTGACCTGGGGAAGAAGACTGTCACCAGTCCCTGGGGCCATCCTCTCATGTGCTGTGCCCACAGTCAGGGTACCCTCCAGCCCCCTCTTCACCTGACTCCCTCCACTCTTGGGTTAGGAGGCTCCTCTGGGGGCCCACCACCAGAGCCCTGGGCTTTCCCATCACAGCCCTAGCCACCCTGAGCTGCACT